CTGACGGACAAACACCAAACCAGTTCCACATCACTGAAGTGGCACCATTTTCACAAACCTATTCTGGTTCATCCGTTTCACTCAACGATCCGCCTTCTCCATTCTCATTCTCCGTTGCCGCCATGCTTTTTCGGCCATGTGCGTATGAAAACAAAGGCACTGCGCATGCACGTTTTACCCATATTCTATCGCGATATGGGAACGGTATAATATGGCCCAGCACTACTTCGGTCTTTTATTTGTATTTATTACACCATAACACTCCTGCAAACATCCAGGTTGAGAACCATTGCTTTAGCTCTGGAAACTCCCCATTAGAGACTTGCTCTAACAGAATGAGCGCTATCAGGTAGAAGTCCTTAGTTTTATTCAGATTTGGAGTTTTTCTTTTAGTGTAACAAATCTGTTTGGCTTTGATTGATTGTGTTAGTTTAGTCCTGGATTTTTACTGCAGCCATCTCCTTCATAGCTTTGCTTCATTAAACCCAAAAGTGGGCACTACACCTGCATGTAGAGCTGCCTGTAGGTGCAGTAGTCATAGGGTGCCACCCTTTTACCTTTGTGCTTTATTTTTAACATTCACTCTCTCAACTTTCTTTTTAGGATTCAACGTGGGTCGCAGTGCCGGCGGGCGCTCCACATTGCGGGAGATCAACCGGGACGCTTGCCATTTCCCAGGATTCCCTGTTCTGCAGACACTGCTGCCCAAACACACCAACGTACCTGAACTCTACTTCCTGCTCATGGCTCTCTTCCTGCAGCAGCCTGTCATCGAGCTCCCAGACAGCCTGCAGGTACATGTTAGTATACCCAACCTTCTTTAATAATAATAACTAAACACGTTTGTTAGCCTCAGGGCTTAAAGTGGACCTATGCTGCTCATTTCCAGCTCCAGATTTGTATTCTTGGACTTTTTAGAGTCCCTGCACCTTCAGGTCAGAGTACAGTGTCAGTGAATTGAGGATTCTTGGAGTTGCTGCTCAGGACTTCATTGAATTCATTGAAGAAGCACTTCAAAGTCTGAGGCCGTGTTTCTCAGACAGAAAAAGGTGGTGGAGGGTTAGATTGAGATTATGTCTCTGGGCTGCCTTTGGATGGCCTCGTTGTCCCCCCAGAAGAGCTTGAGGTGGGCAGGGAGAGGGAAGTCTGAGCATCTCTGCTTAGACGGTTACCCCTTTAACCTGAACTCTGATAACCATCACAGGCTGGATGGACTGACTCTTTAGGGAACTTTGCACGATTCACAGTTCAGAATTATCCTTATTTATCTCATACTTGGCCACGGAGTACTCCCTCAGGTCATCCACTCTGCAGTTATGCATTTTATATCTTACCAGTGAGACCCAGCCAACAGTGAGAGGACCAGTGCTCTGACTGTTGCCTCACCGACCTCCTGTTCAAACAGAAGGTTTACAGAGCTAAGACAGCAGAAGCAACACAGGGATTACCACGCTGAATGAGGAAGAGCATAATGGGTTCACTTTTAAACCTGAATTTGACCTGTCAAACCAGCTAATGAATAAATACAAAAGTGGACTCGTTTAATTAGATTTACATGTATCTGTGTGACCCAAACCCAGTGTCTGTGTTTGTTCTCTCAGTTTGATCTGGACTCTATCTGGACCTTCATCTTTGGCGTGCCAGCATCCAGTGGGACGGTGGTGGCCTCCATCCATAGCGTTTGTACTGAGGCTGCTTTCCTGCTGCTGGCCATGCTGCGCAGCATGCTTAACCTGGTGAGAACCTCTAAACCTTCAGACGCGTTGGTTTCTTGATTTTTTTATTTTTTTGGTCATTTCCAGCTTCCTCTACAGTAGCACATGCTCTAAATAAGTGTTTTACCAATGTAGTTTCCTAAACACGAACATTAATCTGCAGCCAGTTTCACAAAGCTTGTTTTTTGTGTAAAGACAGTGGAAGATTGCACAGCGATTTCTACTTGACTACAAAAAGCTTTTGGGATAATTGTTGAACCTTTTTAAGCCATTATTTGCTCATTAAATTCAAGGCCCTTTTCGTAGAAGTGCATGTTTTAACAGTTCCTAACAGCAAGCTTGAAAAGCACTCACATGTGATTATGATCAGTCTGGATTCTGTGAAGGTTTTTCTTCTAATCTCCCGTCACCTTTAGCGCGCTCATCCCCTGCATGAGAAGCTTCACTAGACCGCCCGTGGGCTTAGTGTCAATAACTGCTCTGAAAAGACTTTATTTATTTTTTGCATCAGTCTGAGATTTGAACTGTTAAACTGCTGAGACTTTAATGGAAATTCTTCTCCAGGTTTCATTGCGTTGCATCTTTTGTCTCTTTCCAGCCTTGGCAGTCAGAGGAGGAAGGTTCCTGGCTCAGGGAGTACCCAGTAACACTCATGCAGTTCTTTAGATACCTTTACCACAACGTGTCCGACCTTGCACCAATGTGGCACAGCCCAGAGTTCCTCTGTGCCCTGGCAGCCGCTGTCTTTCCCTTCAACATCAGACCGTACTCTGAGATGGTAAGTCTGTCCTTTATTTTTTCACTTAAGCAACTCGAAATAGAAATTAAATTCTGCACAAGGGAAGAACTTGCAGTGAAAATCTAATCTTGACCTAAAATTGCTCCAATATCTAACTAGTAGCGTTTCATCTTCCTCTCCACAAAAATGTAGAGTTTAATTTGCTGTGATCACACGTTCTGATTTGTAGTCCCATCAACACACAACAGATACCCTGTACATATCCCTTCAGGCTCAGTAAAACTGTAACTCATTGCCCTTCTGAGCCATGGGCCCTCTCATCTTGCTCTCCAGTTTGTTTCCTCACAATAAAAGGTGTTTGGGACAGCTGCAGTGTGCTAGCCTTTGAATTAAGATGTATGGCTAAGATTTCCACAGGTCAGAGCAGCAAGAACTTGGAGGAAACAATGATCTGTTCATGAAAGATGATCTTGATAAAGGTCACATTCTTTGTAGGTCAGTGATTTGGACGATGAAGCGAGTTCTCCCACCGAAGAGTTCAAAGCCTTCACTGGGGACTCTGGCATGAACCGCAGCCAGTCTGAATACTGCAACGTGGGCTCCAAGACGTCCCTGACCAACCACCCGGCCAAAAAATATGTCTTTGACTTCATGAGGGTTCTGATCATGGACAACCTCTGCATGACCCCAGCCAGCAAGCAGACACCCATTATTGATATGCTGCTGGAGGTAAGAACACAGACATGAACCCACATTCCAGATGCATGGATAGGAAACACTCTAACATGGCTGTTGCTGACTTTTCCCTTTATGTTGGTTTTTTCAGGCTTCCCCGGAGCGCTCCACCAGAACTCAGCAGAAGGAGTTTCAGTCCAACATCCTGGACAGCGTCATGGAGCATCTACTGGCTGCTGATGTTCTTCTAGGTCAGTAGACTAAAGTTTTGGTTCCTTCTCTCACCTCCAAACTAGAGGCAGGGGTGTAATGTATCATCACTATCACTGATGGCACTTTCTCTATTTCCCTGGAGTCTACAGTTAGTTCGGACACCCTGCTCATTAGGTCCATTCTTATTGCTTAAATCCTGCTCTTGCACATAAGCATGCTGCAGGACAGCTTAACTCTTTCTTTGGCTTTGAACAAAACTGTGATGGAGGCATCATGAGTCAGCAAATCACTGTGAAGGCCGGAGATCTGCAAGCACCTTCAGCAGTTTCTGTTGTGTTTAGAGCAGGGGTGGGCAATTCCAGGCCCCGAGGGCCGGTGTCCTGCAGGTTTTAGATCTCACCTTGGGTCAACACACCTGAATCACATGATTAGTTTGTTACCAGGCCTCTGGAGAACTTCAGGACATGTTGAGGAGCTAATTTAGCCATTTAAATAAGCTGTGTTGGTTCAAGGACACATCTAAAACCTGCAGGGACACCAGCCCTCGAGGCCTGGAGTTGCCCACCCCTGAGTATCGTCCTGCATCTATCTGAGGAAGAAAAGAAAATCTGTGCGCTTCAAAAGATGTGAGACAGCAAAAATCATCTCACTTACCTTTCTTTGTTTCCTTAGTAGAACACAAAATAATCAATAAAGCCCATATTCCTGTCACACTGTTCTGCTAAATCTCAAAGGTAATATCTGTTTGCAGAGGCGTGAGATGCTTAGTTTTGTTCAATCATTTTAAAAAAGCTGCTGTTTTTACACTCGAACAGTTTCTACTGTAATGAGGGGGAAACGCTTGCAGCGTGAGACCCCCTTACTCCTGGAAATACAGACCAGCGCGACGCCCGCTCAAGTCCTGTGTATTCACCAGGCATGCACTTCCTCTATTCTCGTATGGGACCAATCAAAAGTCACACAGACTTTGAACTGCGTAGCTGGCAGGTGTAACCAGGTTTTCACTTGCACCTCCATCAGGCAGTGTCAGTGAGCTCATAGTTAATAAAAACTAAGGATGAAAAAAATATTAACTGAAATAATAAAAACCAGAGAACCTTCTTAAACTCTCTTTCTTATTTTGGTCGTATTCGCCATCATAATCTGTAAACCCTCTAACAGATGTGTGACTGACTCTCTCTCCAGGCGAAGATGCCTCGTTGCCCCTCAGCAGCGGGGGCAGTTATCAGATTTTGGTCAACAACGTCTTCTACTTCACCCAGCGGGTGGTGGACAAGCTGTGGCAGGGCATGTTCAACAAGGACTCCAAGCTGGTGGTGGATTTCATCGTGCAGCTCATTGGACAGGTACAAGCAAAATGACCTCAGGCTATTTTTGGTCAGCTGATGGTCCAAAATGTAGATTCACCCAAATAAATCCAGTGTTTTCAGATGTTATACAAACGGAAAGTCTCTGTCTGTCTAAGGCAGCGTACGTCCTCCCTTTATGTACTCACATTGTGTAGCTGGAGGCACTAGTATTTTGTCTGGTTTGTACACACATTTAATAGTCATTAGATTCACAAACACAGCATAATGTAAATCCTGTATTGTTGGGAGCAGCCTGCATTGTCAGACTGACGTTTTCCTGAAGAGGCCGGAGGCAGAGAGACGGCGTCTGTGACGCCTGAACTGGAATAAGAAAGAAAACAGTCCTTAGTCGTCTTGCAGTTAATGCAACCAGTGCAAAGTGATGCTGGAGCAAATCAGATGGATGGGGTCCTGCAGGCCTCATTTTGGTAGGAGATGGGCACAGAATGAGATTTGGCTGCTGAGGTGTGTTTCTTATATTTGCTGCTTATTAGATTCAGTTTCTTTGTTTTGTTATTCTAAATAAGGGTTGCAGTGGTACCCCATGCGTATGCTTACATGGAAATGCTTTTAGCAACGTAGTAAAAAGAGTCGTGCATGGACTTTGTCTTCCCTTTTTTGCGGTGGTTTGTGTACACATTGCTGTGCAGCTGAGAAGATAAGCAGATTATTTTCAGTAATTCATTTTTCGAGCCATAATGCAGTCCCTGAATCCTGGAAATATCCCTCAGTGGATTCGATGGCCATCCATTTCATCCTGAGGCGCACAGTTTGGAACTGGAATATATTTGTTATTAATTTCGTCAGTCATTTTGAAACGTACCCACTTTCTACTCAGTTTTCTTTGGAGAAACTCCAGCTGGAGTTACTCCTTAACAAAGTGGTCGATTAAAAGGAAAAGATGTGTGATGGGTGGCACGGTGTGGTACTTCCTGCAGGTGTGTGAGTGAACACCAGGTGCTCCGGTTTATTCCAACAGTCCCAAATGTATTTGTCTGTAAGACTAGAAAAGAGGTTTTCTATGTGAATAATATTCATTTTCAGTTTTTAAGACTTTTTCTGTTTCGGGCTTAAAACTGGTTTTCTCCCAGTTTTGCTTTAACACAAAACAGGAAGCTTCAAAATCTGGAGCGTACTGTTAGAGCACACTTGAGTATGAACATGCAGAGTATTGATTTAAAGTCTAAACACATGTTTATAAATAGCAGATTTTTCAAATAAGGCCCTTTGAGGCCCTTAAGCAGCATTCCAACACTACAGCTACGTTCACAATCCTCTGCATTCCTAACTCAGTGTAGCCCCGTTACAAACACAAATCTCCTCCTGCAGAAATTTTTCCTCAGCAGCTTTATTCACATGCACTTCATAGCAGTAAACAGCCGTAACTGCTTCTCGCTTGTTTTCCTCCCGCTCCAAATTCTCCAGTCCAAGAGGCGTTCGCAGGGACTTTCTCTCGACACTATCTACCACTGTCTGAACCGGACGGTGCTCTACCAGCTCTGCCGACCCCACAAGACGGTAGCACAGCAGGTGGCCCTGCTGGATGCCCTGCGGGTCCTGACCGTCAACCGCAACCTGGTGCTCGGGCCAGGCAACCACGACCAGGACTTTGTGGCCTGCCTAGCTCACTGCTTCATCTGCCTGCACAGCGGGAGGTACGTTCTTTACATGGAGGCTGCTGTAGGCTTTTTACTTTGATTAATAGCAGCAGACTATAGAAGTGCATCTATCACACCAGCAGGTGCTGTGTATGTAGGCACTCTGATATTGGTTATTCATACGTTGAACTAAATTTTCTTTCCTGTATCATTCTTTCAATATGTATTAGGCTGAGTAATAATATACTTCAGTGGTAAATCCTGAAGGTCAAAAGTAATAATATTCTTGGGTTGTAAACACACACATAGATGAGATGCATTAAGACATGTTAATGAAGCGCTTTAGTGAAATGTTGCTTTGCCAGTTTGTTGCGCTGATTGCTTTATCTGTGCTGCCGTAGCTCTTAAAGCTGTGCTGGTTGTGGCCACTGTACACAGATGGTACTTTATTTGGATGCTTTGATTTAAAAGCTGGTTTTTGTTTTAAATAAACTGTAAATAGGAGTGTTTAGCATGTTTTCAGACTCACACTTAAAGGTGTTCAACAGATTTCATAGTGCAGAAGAGCTCTGGATTGTCCACATGTCCTGATATAACAGAAGAGCTGAATTATGCATGGAATAAATAATCAACAAACACGTTTTCTACGGTTATGTCACAACTTCTGTTTGCAAAGGACAATGACGTAAAGGGTTAGAAAACAGAAAAAACACAAATCATTGTCCTTTTTTTTTCTGCACAGAAGACAGAAGAAAAGTTTGCATCGTGTGTTTATTTTGTTTACTGTTTTGCCGTTCTTGTAGTTAAACTCGGTGAGATTATCTGAGTCTCTCCCCCGCAGGAATGTTTGTATAACTAATTACCGCCGGGTCACACCTCCTTATGCTTATTTTCTCAAACCTGGACTTTGTCAGGTTTGCTCACATGCTGGTGGATTGTGATAGCAGGGGATGTATCTGGTTCTGGGGGAAAAAACACCATTTCTTTCCTCACACAGCAGCAGGTGTGGACAGACTGGATGTCCAGCCATGTGGTGAACACAACCTCTCTAACACGGCGCTGTGTTTGACTGCAGAGATCAGACCTGTTTGCCATGGAGAAGCCAAATAATCAAACCCTCCTGTCAGTTCTCTGCAGGGCAGCATGATACTCAGCTCCTGTGTGTGTGTTTGTGTGCAGTAGTGTGGACGGCTTCGGTTTGGAGGCGGAGGCCAGGATGACGACCTGGCACGTCATGATGCCCGCGGAGAACGAGTCTGACACCACGCACAGCCACGACGTCAGCGAGGGTGAGACAGATTCGTGTGTTTGACTGCGTGCAGAGCCGCTCTGACCCTGATGACCTCTGCCCAGATACTGTTGTCACTTTCTTGTGTGACACATCCTCTATATAACAGAATAACTTCAGTTTATTTACACTTTATAAATCGTTTAGGCCCAGCTATGATTAACAGTGATATGGAGTATTTAAATGACAAGCAAAGCAGATGATCATGAACAGTTAAAGATACACAATAGAAATAAGAGGATACGAGAAAATGAGAGGAGTGCAAAAATAACCCGAGTGGTTTAGAGATCTGTCTGAAAGAGCGACGTCTCCTGCAGTTGCAATCAATCAGTCCCCTCACTCGTAATTTTAAAGTCCAATGAGTTTGTTCTTGCCTTAGAAACACTCGTCTTCATATATCAGCTGTGAAAATAACCCAGAAAGTCGCTGAGGTGTAACACTTGTATTTTTGTATGTTGTGGTGCGGCATGTGTTTAGATGTTCTGTTCTGTGCTTGTGGAGGAGGTGAATGTGGGTGAATTACAGACAGAGATGGAGGGAGAGCTTAATGAATATTTTATGTGTTGCAAAGGAATTTTACAACTGCTCTGCACAAAAACGGACAGGAAAACTCATTATTGTGGTTCCTCTGCAGGGCGGCAGCTCCTGCTGAAGGCGGTGAACCGTGTGTGGACGGAGCTGATGCACAGCAAGCGCCAGATGCTGGAGGACATCTTCAAAGTGTCTCTGCCCTGCAATGACAGAGGACACGTGGACATCGCCACAGCCCGTCCCGCTTTGGAAGAGCCGGCCCTGAAGAGCTGGCAGAACCACCTGGGTCAGTAACACTGTGAAAAACACAAGCAGAGGAATAAGCACGCAGTCTTTCTGCTCCCTACTTTAGCTCAGTTTTTGTTTTTCTCTGCTTTGAGTAGCTGAGTGTTGCTCATGCAACCTTGAGATAACTAGGTCAGCCTCTTTTTGTTTGACAAAGTAAAGTAACCCCACGGCCCTGCAGACAGAGCCTGTTATTTTCTGATCTGCTGTCTTTTTAGCTAAGCTATTGCTTATGTAAGCAGATTGGTAAATGACTGTCATCCACCAGCCAAGTTTTGACTCGTGTGCTGATCCAGGCTCTTTGGCAGGCAACCAGATGTTGTTAGAAGTTCTCTTTGAATTTGTAGAAAAGGCCCTAAGATGTTTTTCCTTTGCTAAGCACTTATGAAATATCTGTTGTAGAAGGAGCATTATTTTTGAGAGAAGATATGATTAAATTAAAATTTGTAAATACTTGTTCTGTCTCACAAAATCCCCTTTACCTTCTGTGTTAGTTAAATCTTGGAGACATCCCGAGTAAGTTGTGCTCTTGCTGGGAAAGCTGAACTTCTGCATCACAGAGCTGTGGTTGTGAAACATGCCCAAAACTGTGAACCCACAGCAGATCAAAGTAGTTCAGACTTTTCAGATTTTCTACAGTTATTGTCGAACATCTGTTTGTGTAGAAGAAGAGAAACCTCTGCTTTTCACTGGCTTCAGTGCAGGTCAGGCCTCAGCCCCACAGACTGACAGAGAGGGGAAAATGTGTATTCAGGAACCAGCTGGTGAGTGGTTGTTGGAGGTTGCCGGCAGTCAGTGGGTGAAAGAAGTGGCTAAGAAGTCTACAGTGCTGCACCAGAAACCTCGTGCAATGACTTTGTTTGCCACAGTTGCCTGTATTTTGCATGTTCGCTGTAGTGTGGCAGTGAAGCTGTGGAAAGTGTGGTGCAACTTTTACTTTGAAGGCAAACGTTCTCCGTTACCGGTTTGAGTCTGATTTTTTTTGTGGGCAGCTTTAGTAAACACACAGAGGAAGGAGATTTTTGTTGCATCATTCCTATCAGGGAATGTGCATTTTCCCTTTGGAGCACAGAGACTAAGCACGAATTTTACAGATTAACTTAAGTAATAAAATCGCATTAACACCCTCTGTCATCGACTTACATGTTTTCTTTTACTGTAAACAGCAGACTGTTAAGATAACCACAAGGTTAAAAAAAACTGAATGTACTTTTCTCTTTTCTGCCAATCAGTTCATGAGAAAAAGTACATCAGTCGTGGGGAAGCAGTGGCACCAGCGACTCAGTCCAAACTGTCCAGAGTCAGCAGCGGCTTCGGCCTCTCCAAGCTGACCGGCGTCCGGCGCAACAAGAAGGAGAACAGCCTGAATAAGAACAGCCTGTCTGCACAGGTACACGGAAAACAACAAGCACACATACATACGAGCATTTCTTACTTACGTGTACTCTCTGAGGCTGAGCGCTTCAAATACAGGCTTGTATTTCTGGTCCACAGGAGACTTTCCAGTGGATGTTCACACACATCGCTGTTGTCCGGGACTTGGTGGCCATGCAGTACAAGGAATATCAAGAGGTAGTGCATCTCAACTCCCATTAAGGTTGCATACAAAATGTAAGGTGCAGTAACTCCTAAATAAACGACAGTGTTTCATATGGAAACGAGTTCAGATGTAATTTGTGTTTTGGATTTCTCTTCAGCTAGTTTTCACAGATGATTTTCTTCTTGTAGTTTTTGTTTTTACTTTATTGTTTTCACAGTTTGTGTCAGTCTTTTCAGTTATTGCACAATGAGCAACTTACAAAGTTCAGAACAGCTGTAAAACGTTGTGACTCACAGCCACGCTGCCCTCCTGTTCTCAGGTGTGCTTGCTGTAAAGGCAAATGTGATGAAAAACTAAAACTGAAGGCTTAAAGTTATTTTATTGGTTTCTGTAAATGCACAAACACATCGAATTTAGCTATAACAGCCTTTCACTCATGCTTGCTAGTGTTTGTACTCATCCTGGATGGTTTTAAGCTGTGATCACACAGATCCTGCATCCATACGTGTGGTTACCAGGTGGGAACTTTCTGTTGGTCCTGTGCAAAAGTTAAGAACAACTTTGCACAAAGTTTATTTTTGTAAAGTTTCCTTAAGTTATTTCTGTGATCAGCGTCAGCACAAACCAGTGTGCTCTAACAGTGCAGTCTGATGTGACTGCAGGACCACAGAGAAACTCTGGACGGCTACATTTCACAGCCCAGTGTTGCAGTCGTGACATTTATAATTCATAGCAGTATTTTTTCAAGTGACTCACCGCACTCTTGCTTCGTCCATCCTCTCCGTCTCGCAGCGGCAGCAGAACGCCCTCAAGTACGTGACGGAGGAGTGGGCATCCATCGAATACGAGCTGCTGCGTGAACGAGGCCTCTGGGGCCCGCCAATCGGCTCCCACTTGGACAAGTTTATGCTGGAAATGACGGAGGGGCCCTGCCGAATGAGGAAGAAGATGGTCCGCAATGACATGTTTTACATCCACTACCCGTACGTCCCAGAGACGGAGACCAACACCAACTCAGCACAGGTACTCTGCTTTAAATCGGCATTCACACGTTCCCACAAACCCCTCCAGGACTTTAGCAGATATGAAAGGACTCGTGGTAAATATTCATTTGAGGAATGACATTAGCAAGACGAATTAAAATCTAAACTGCACCTTTTTTTTTTTTTTTTACACCCAGGAGAAAACCTCTGACTCCATAATATCTCAGTTTTCTCCAGTTTAATTACGAGACAGAGATGCAAATTAAATAAGACAATACCGTAAAGAGAGGCATGCAGCCAGCGTAATGTCGCCCATGGTTTGTGTTTCTATTTTTAAGCCTGAGGTTAAGCGTTTAGACTGTCGCTGTCAACAAACTACTGACTGTAATACTATCGAGAAAGTGTTGGGGTCATAAATCAAATGTGCAGTAAAGTCATTTTTTAAATAGACTTAAATACTTGGTTTAAAGCACGTCAGCATTTTCTTCCCTTTTTAAATCCAAAGGTTACATTTACATACACAAAAAGACCTGGGGCACCTACACACTACCCCGACAGGAGTGCCTGTGCCATGGAAACCCATACCATGAAGCTCCCTGAGCAGGTTTGGAGTTACTGGGATCCATTGATGTAGATCAGGGGTGGGGAACTCCAGGCCTCGGGGGCCGGTGTCCTGCAGGTCTTAGATGTGTCCTTGATCCAACACAGCTGATCTAAATGGTTAAATGACCTCCTCAACATGTCCTGAAGTTCTCCAGAGGCCTGGAAATGAACTAATCATGTGACTCAGATGTGTTGACCCAGGGTGAGATCTAAAACCTGCAGGACACCGGCACTCGAGGCCTGGAGTTCCCACCCCTGATGTAGATAAACCTTTTCCCGTTTCTACTTTTGTTGCTCCCGCCCCAAACACATCTGGCGAATGAGACAGACTGAACAGTCTCACTTGGTTTCTTGGTTTGTAGTGAAGCGTTTTGGTTCGTGTGTAGTTTGAATTTTTCTCTGTGTGGAAACAAACAAAATAACAGGGAAAAGCCAAAAGTTTACAAACTGATCAACTGATTCAGATCAGAATAAACTGTAGGTGTGAAAACACCCATACTTCCAGACGTTCACCGACAGTAGTGCAAGTCCATGTCCACAAATTCAACAAGTGTGTCAACTAAGCAGCCGAAAGCATAACAAAGGACACCAAAGTCACAGTGAGCTACACTGTGACAGCATGAAATGTAGCCAAAGTGAAACAATATCAAAGAGAAGAGGCTGAAACTGAATCTCACAGTTGGACTGGCACGAGCATTTGTTTGAACACATGGCAAAGAAAGTATTTTAAGCATTTTCAATAAAACATGGCAAAGAAATCCAGTTTGTTTCTTTTTGAATTGAATTGAAAATGTCCTTCTTGGTGTCTGTAACTTCAGCCAATCCCCTGCAGAGCAGCAAACACTCCTTAAATAGAGCTGTAGGATGAGCTCATCGTGACACAGCCGGTGGCTCACTCTCCCTATCACTGAGACACATTTAGCTTTGTTTGCTCTACAAATAATCCCTCCTCTCTGTTTGCTCGCGGGTGCCTCTCTCCACTCCACAATAATTTATTTGGTCATGAAGATTCAGAGAACGCTTCAGGGATTCCCAGTTTTTTGTTTTTTTTACTTTTTTCTGTTTCGACATTCAAGCTTTGAGTTGACTGGCTTGGTGTGTCGCTGTCGAAAGATGAAATCATCCAGCAGTGCTCAAATGGAAACTACACGCATAAAAAACAAACCTCCCTGTTCCTGAAGATGCCCTTTAGGAGTTCAGATTAAGAGTTCATGAACACTTTATGAAGAGTCTCCTTTGATGCCTTCTGGAAAGAATTTAATTAAGTCCAAATTCCCCGCGGCTTGGTTGCTAATGTATAATTTAATCATGCTCGAGGAGCAGTTGCAGCTTGATAAAGCCCCGTTCTTGTGCCATGGACTTGAATACCATTGCTTGCTGTTTTCACTTTAAGCGTTGGAGCTCATTTGTTTTGGCTTGCCTGCCTTGTTTGGCCATTATTGGAGGACACGCCCCCCACACTGAAGATTTTTCCATTTGATTCCACTTAAATGTTCTTGTTAGGAACAACCAAAAACACATAAAGCTAATTTAATGACCCCGTGGTTTAATTTAGTTCACTTCTCATTAGACAGTTCCAGTTCACAACAGCAGTCATCTCAAGTTGTTTTATATAGCGAGGCGCAGCCTCTACAGAGAGAACCCTAACAGTTAGACCATCACTATGTGCAAATTTGGACTCAAACCTTGTAAATATTTCTCCCAATTAAAATCTAAAAATGTTCTTTTTTACATTTAATTAGCCTCTCCAGACTTTAGCATGAGAATAAGAGGATATGTAGGATCATGTGGCTTTGAGCTGTTTGGTTGCTTAATTGAAAAACTTCCCGTGTGAGATATTAAATGGCCATATCCTGCGTGTCTTTACCTTCTTCAGCACGCCTGTCCCCCTCTGGTGCCCCTTGATTCCTCACCTCTGGTTGGGGTCTTTGACTGTATTCAGGTACCTTCTGGAAAATCCTGTTTGGCCCCCACTGATGCTTGCTGTGACTGCATGAGCGTAACATACATGTTGTTTTAAACCATGCAAGTCTGTGTGTGTGTGTATGTGGTCATGCCAAAATGTGGTCCAGGGGATGCGCAGTACCAGGAACTACCACAAAGGTGACTCGGGCAGATATTCAAATGCCCACCTGTGTGTCTGTGGACAGGGTGTGACAACATGAATAACATGGTACCAGTGCATTTGGCTTTAACTCTGGGAGTGGAAGAATGAAGCAGGCTGCCTGTGGATGGGAAATCTGAAATACAGCACAGGCTGAACCACGTCACCACTTCACTGCGCTATTGCAGCAAGTTTCTGCCCTGTGTGATGTTCCTCTCACTGAAATTCTTGCAGCGTCACGCAGGAGCCGTGCAAGGCATCGTCAATATATCGACCTTTTATTTTGATCCATAGAATATAAAGATGAAGAATAACCAACTGAAGCATGTGTTTTGTGTTTTGACGCTGACAAAGCCAAATTTTTTAAGTCTAATCAAAGTGGAGTCATGCAGTGCTACATGGTCTCACCTCCTCCTCTCCTCCCCAGAAACCTCTGCGTTACCGCCGCGCCATCAGCTACGACAGTAAGGAGTATTTCATGCGTTTGCTGTCCGGAAACCCCGGCATGTACCAGCACTCTGTAGAGCACAGCACCGAGGGAGAGACCACGCACCAAGAGCTGGAGCACGGAGAGGACACCATCGCTAAAGTCAAAGGTAAAGAGACAGCACTGTGACACTGATGCTGTTACACGTAGAGTAAGATTCAGAGAAATCCTCATTTGGCCTTCCTTTCTAGTGTTTCATCTTCTGAATGGATTCAGGAGTTCTGTCCTTCTCTGTGGGCTGATTCGTTTCTATCTTAAGTAAGGAGGTGTTGCCTGTATGTAACACTGTGTTTGCACTGTGCTCCTCAGGCCTGGTGAAGGCTCCACTGAAGAGGTCGCGGTCCACAGCGGACGGTGCAGATGAGGACAGTCAGGACCAGCTTCAGGAGCAGCTATTAGAGTCAGGAGGCCCCGAAGAGGAGCAGAAGACTGACAACACGTCCCTGCTGAGACTCCTGGAGGAGGGAGAGAAGGTCAGTCCGAGGGAAGCACATAGATATGAGTGGATAATTAACATAGTAGTAGAATCATAGTGTGTTTTACACCTGAGCGATTCCTGTGCTGCAGGTGGCGCATTTCAGCCAAATACACTGTTCAGTATTGACTGGGAACTTTGTGACGATTCATCAAATGATTGCACATAGTTGTTGCAGAATTGTGACACGGTGTCTTTAGCGAGTTTGGACTGGACATGTTTTCCCATTTCTCCAGTTTGTGCAGGAACATCTAATCTTGCTGCAGCAGTCAGATTTTTTCGCTTTGGCTAGTTGGCAGCGTGTGACAGAGAACTTTGGTTGTCTTTCCAATTTCTTTGCTTTACAGTCACACACGAGCAAACTGCATCTTTGATTTCTAAAGTTTTAGATTTCAAGTTTCACGTCTTCTGTTATTGACTTTCTTTATGTGATGAGGCATTGCACTGCGTGTCCAGTCCCAGGATCTCATCTGATAAAAAGACCTTTTAAACAACACACACACACACACACACACACACACACACACACACACACACACACACACACACACACACACACACACACACA